ACAAAGTGCATTGGCAAAGGGCTGGGAATATACCACCTGTCCACCCTTGCTACATAACCTTGGGGGGTCTGAAGAACAGAGGAGAGAGAAGAATATATAAAAAGAAAATAAGCACATGCTTGTATTCTGTCTGTGTACCCCTATTTAGCTAGAACATTTTAATTTCCAAGAATCAGATCTAATTCTATTCCAACTTCTAAATTATTTCACTATTAAAACTTTGACTATTAAAATATCATGAGCATCAACGTTCACGAAACAAAAGCTGAAACTTCCTGATTTAATAAGTGCACTGAAGGGTGCATTTCATATCAAAAATTCCTTACTGAAATGGAATAAGCAAATTTATTATCACTATGCAATATTAGATTTCACAGCGCCTTAACTTATTCCTATCAGAAGAAGGCATCAATATTTTCTTGAGTAAAGTTTAGTCTTCATGAGGCATGTCCGAGCTCATCCTTTAGTTCCTTGGCCAAACAAACCTTTCTTCCTGGTCCTCATGTTAGCTGACATCCTCAATGTTTCTCTCCCCTCCAAAGCACTTGCCTGCCCTTTCAAGTCTGCTGACATCATCTCTCTCCTCAATGAACTCACCTTTGACTGTCCATCCTTGCAAATTACCAGTGTATTTCAATTTTCATATTCCTCTCTGAAGTCCTTGAATGTATTGTCAATACCCAGATTTATGTCCATCTTTCTTGCAGTTCCATGTTTGAACCCCTTCCACAATACGGAAATCACTTTTTCTGAAATCACATATGATATCCTTTGTAACAAAGTAAATCTATCCCACCTTGTCCTTCTTGACTTTTTGCAGCCTTTGACACAGTTGACAACACAATCCACGTGCAAAGTCTTCCTCAGTCATCCAAATAGATTAGTCTGCCCTTGCCCGGTTCCATTCAATGGCACAGAAATGTTTTTAAGACCCACAGTCATGGAGATGACGATGTGTGATTATCCTATCCCCCATTGCTTTTGATACAGGCTGTGCAAAAGCTACATGCTGTCTGCTCATTTAAATGATTGCAGAACGCAGCCAACACTGAGCACATTGCTGAGTGGCTGCATGTGTCCTAAGCAGGCTAAGCAAAATCATCAGAGGCTAGTATAAGTTCAAGCAAGCCATCGCAAACTAAACCAGCCAGCATTTCGTAAAGGAGAGGTACATGTTAACGGGACCAGGTGTTGAAAGTGATGTTAGAAGTCAGTTTGGGAAAGGTACAGGAAAAGCACAACATGACTTAAAGCATCTTCCAACATTCACACGGCTGCCCTAGAGGCCAAAGTCCAGGAGATTAATTGGAGGAGAGGGCTGCTGTATCAACAGGGTACCAGGAGGCCTTCCAGCCAAACTCTGAGAAGGCTATGGGAACAGATAGGTGTGCAGGTGAATACCAGCAGCATAACCATAAGGACTCGGGTGCTGTGCTATAAAAAGTTCAGCGTACTCGCATGCGTGGTCAAGGCCAGTGAATACACCTTCAAAGTCATCTCCAACCAACTGCAGCACCAATCTCTCACAGCACTCTATGCACCACACCTCCATCACATCAGTTATGACTCATGCTTCACCCTCACACACTGAGCACTACTGCAAGGTTATCTGCACCCTTTCCCATTACAATTTGGCAACCCTTCTGTGTGTTATGCTGCAGCCACTTGTTTAGCAATGCACAGGGAGCACTAGGTCAGGCAAAGTTGTATGGAAGACTGACACAAAGGAAAAGTGTAAGGTTGATTGGTTGACTTGTGGATCGAATACTGGATGGCTTGTTTGGTAATATTGGTATGGAGAGTTTGTGTTGTGTTGATTTTTATTTCAATGTTGTAAACAAGGGGATGCTGTGCTATTATGGATGTGTTGTGGGATAGGAATTGATATGCTCGTCACTGGTACTACAACCATGTGAGCTAATCAAGGACAGCCCGGACAGAAACTAATGTATTAGTTGCCTCCTCCTCCCCATCTTCCTCCTTCCTCTCAACTCCTCATCGTCCTCAGTGATTCATCATATACTTGGTTTCAAGGGCTGAGCCCTCAGGATGTGGCAGACTACAACAGATCTTGCCATGCACTCTGGAGACTAGCATAAGTGGGGAGGCAATGACCTAGCGGTATTATTGCTGGACTGTTAATCCAGAGACCCAGCTAATGTTCTGGGAATCTGGGTTTGAATCCCGCCACGGCAGATGATGGAATTTCAACTCAATAAATATCTGGAATTAAGAGTCTAATGATGACCATGAATCCATTGCCAATTGTCGGAAAAACCCATCTGGTTCAATAATCTCCTTTAGGGAAGGAAACTGCCATCCTTACATGGTCTGGCCTACATGTGACTCCAGATCTACAGCAATGTGGTTGACTCTGAACTGCCCTTTGGGCAATTAGGGATGGGCAATAAATGCTGCCTAGCCAGCGATACCCTCATCCCGCGAATGAATAAAGGTTAAGTCTCATTCAGAGAAGTACAGGCAACAAAAGCGTGGCTTAAACACTCCAGTAGTCTGGTGACATTTAACATGGCAACCTGACTCATTACTTGCATGATGTTCCCATATGTATCGGGTTGAAAACAGAGTCATGATCCAGGTGGTCAGTGGTTAGCCCTTATCACCCGGTACTCATCCTCTCTTTTAGTGACTGAAATGCTGATGGTACAGTCAATTACTGCAGAATAAAATACATGCAGAACGACCTGCATGTTTTCCTGTTTCGTTGAACACCAGCTACTCAGTGAGGGAGTTGAATGAACGCTTAGTGGTTCTGATAGGTTTGTGAATTAAGATGTGATATTCACAAATATAGTTGCGGTGTCCTCATTGGCAACATGTATCATGTGCAAGCCTGTAACCCTGACAAAGCAGCACGCATATTATAGCATTCATTATTGAGAGCCATTGGTCGGAGTAGAATCCTTGAAGTCAGAACCACAGCCCCCACCACATACCCTACTGTTCACCAACTTTTAATGTCAGTGCAAACACCAAATACTGGCAATGAGTCAGTAGCTTCCAGCATCAGTTAACATAAGAATATTTGATGATCATTTTAAAAATCCAGACCCAATTAGCATTTTTGACTCTGCACTAAATTTCCAAACAACTTGCACTGTGGTGTCAAACTGAAGTAAGCTGAGCCTATTTCCTCCACAAGTTCTGCTTCTTTGCAAGTCAGTCTGAGCCCTGACTCCAAAATAACATCATTGTGAGATGGGAATTGCATCATACCGCCATAAAGTTTGCAATTTAATTACACCCTTAAATGCATATAATAAAATACTCTCAGTTCAAATAAAGACAACTATTTTCTCCTAACTTTCAGCAGTGAAAGACAGACTTTAAGCCCAATTGAACAAAATAAATTGGCCCATCTCTGAGCACAGTTGACCTCTCATATGTGTCTAGAGCAAACACAAAATTGCAGCTAACCAAACTTGAAAATATAAGAGTTGGCAACACCACTACTAACTGTATAAGAGAAAAAGACTGGGTTTGCGAACCATTTCTGTGGAAAATATTTAACTACAGCAGCATTGATCTATGGATTTGACAATTATTTAGAACAAAATAGACACATATCTGAAATTGGACTTCTTTATAAAGCAACATTGGGCACATTTAAAATGTCATTACATTTGATCATTTCAAGAAATTCTGAGCCATTTAGTTTATTCCAACTAGGTGGTGGCTCATGGTGTCAACCATCAGTTCTTTATTTTTAAATCAAACCAAGGATTGATTTTAGATTTAGATTTGACTCTCAGCCTTGGTTGGAATGTCAATTTGGGTTCTACTAAAACTCAAATCAGCAATCATAGGTAGGTGATTGGTCAACCACAGTGTTTAGGGTTGAGCTGTCAAGCTGACAGGATGGAGAGAGTGTTAACATTTCAGGTCAATGAGTTTTCATCGTGGTTCTGATGAAAGACATGAAATGATAATTCTGTTTCCTTCTATAGGTGTTGCCCAATCTGTTGAATTTTCTGAGCACTTTTTTTGTTTTTATTTTAGATATCCAACATCCACATTTTTTTGTCATGTGTGGGGCTAGAAAAGATATTTGTTCTAGGTTCTATTTCAGACTGTGAATTAGTGCAGTCTACTTCCTGACCTTAGACGAACATTACCAGAAACCATGGAAATGTGTACAGCACTCAATTGTCATCCCTGATGGACTCCAGAAGGAGACTACAAAACCTGAGCTTAAAAATAATTCTGAGAACTTTATAAAATTTGACCAAAATTTCAAATATAATCCCACATATATGATAAATTATTAAACAAGAATGCTTTTAGTGTCATATAAGGCCTTAAGAACATGTACAGAGGAATATAAATTACATGAGACTGACATTATGTTGTCTCAGCATTATTGTATAAAGTTCCATTGTCGGCACTACCATATGTTGCATGTTACTAGCCAGCAACAGATACACGACAAACATGCATGCATTTTTCAACACATTCACATCTCAGTCACCCAGAATGTGAATGTAACTTCCCTAAACTCATTGGAAGCCTGCCTCAAAGGCTGGAAAGCATGCACAAATCCTAGTTGCATGAATATCTGGAGTGCAAACTAAAATTAGCCAAAATACCTAAAGAAGCATTGTCTTGTAGTAAGCTGGTAAATGGCATGACTTCAGTGAGTTATTGTTAAGAGAACAACAAAAAAAAAACAACATTTATTATATTTGGATCATTCTAGCTGTGTAGGTCACTCAGACTACAAACGATTATAATATCCTAGACTGTACAAAGTTTGGAAATACAGATCCTGCTTCTCCATCGAAATGAATTGGACTGATATAGAATACTACTGTTCTTGAAGCCTCACATCAGGTTGCTTGTTTCTTTACAATAACTCCTTTGATTCCACCTACCCTATAAATTAGACTCAACCCAGATTACTGCAGAGCTTTATGAAATGATGAAGAAATGTTATTTGTATTCATTTTCATTTTCTTTTTCTCTGGCTTTGTTCTTCTAAGGCCTTTGCTTGGTGGTCAGATTTGATGGTTGAACATGCAGAGACCTTCTTGTCACTGTTTGCAGTCGACATGGATGCTGCTTTAGAAACACAGGCCCCGGACACCTGGGACAGCTTTCCATTATTTCAGCTGCTCAACGATTTCCTGAGGAGTGATTGTATGTATCACTTTCCAATAGGGTGTTTTTCATACACTGTTTTCATATTATTTTCTTGATGTGTTCTTAACTTAATCAATTTCTTCTATATTACAATAAATCTTGATCCGTTTATATTTAGCCATAGAAGACCACATGTATTGAGATTTGAGAATGTGTGGGAGAATCAATAAAGAACATGCTGGAGTAGTAGATGAGGAATTGGACCTTTGGTTGCATAAAACAAGTACAGCAAAGACTAACTTTGGAGGCTAATGTAGCTTGATATTGGGTAGAACATTCTTCCATCACCCAAAAATAGGGATTAGGCTCTTTACATTTACTTACGAATAGACTGAAGCATATTGTTATGACCCCTTTAAGAACTGGACTGTGCTGAGCAAGGAAGCACTGAACTTCTCCACTAAATCTTTCACATGTAGAGGCCTAGCAATTGATCACCAGAGAATGGTAAGTCCTTAACATCATTCACTTTGCCTGGAGCTGCTCAACACTCATCAGTGTTGTTTACTGCAATTGGATCTCTATATGTCCCCTCAACTCCCATTCTTTCTCGTAGCCAATGGAGATTGCTGCTGGAATTTGTTCCTAAAAAAGGGTAAGCTGCCTTTTAGTGAATACAGTTTGTGCTTTTCGTTTAGGTTAGGCTTAAGGTCCAATTTCAGGCTGGTCTTCAGATTCTCAGTTCAGGTACATGTTAAAGATGCAGAGCCATCATTCCTGAAACCACGTGCTGACAAATTTTTATTCCATAATGATTGCATTAAGCAAATGGTAAACTGTTTTTAAAATATATCCTGTCATTCTGGTTCTTCAGAGAGTACTAACCAATAATGTTATCAAACTGTCCTTGGACAAAATGAATCACAGATTAACCAGAATGATACCAGGGCTTAAGAGGTCTAAATAATCCGAAGCTTGTACGAACTCTAGAATTCCTTTGAGTATAAAAGATGAGGCACTTAAATTGGTTTTTTAAAAAAAAGCTATGACAGTGTGAACGTAGGTAAAACTATTTCCTCTGCTACAGGCATCAAGAATAAGGATATATGATCATAAAATCAGAGCAATGTCATCCAGGAGCAAAATCAGAAAGCATATTTTCACATGAAAATGGTAGAACTTTGGAGTGGTCAGCCCAAAGTATTCTGGATCCTGGACATTGGAACTTTGAACTGAAATAGATTTTTGTGAAAGGTTTCAGGGCTATGAAGCAAAGATGGGTTGAGCTCAGTCATGATCTAATTAAAAAGTAGAATAGGCACGAGGGATTGAATGACCCACTCTAATCTTCTGTATTCCCAATAACATAAATTAATGCACCTGTTCCTTAATTCTCAATTTTAGATAATCTGTTAAATGGAAAATTCCACAAACACCTTCAAGATGTCTTCGCTCCTCTTGTGGTTAGATATGTCGACTTGATGGAATCATCAATCGCACAGTCGATTCATAGGGGCTTTGACCGGGAATCATGGGAACCTGTAAAGTAAGGGCACATCCTTTGATATATTTTGGGTTTGGATGCTGATGGATAAAGATTGATGCATTGTGACCAAATTTCCAGTACCGAGATATTACATTTTTATGTGAAGAATCATAGCATCTTGATGCAAAATAAAATTAACAGTCAGCATTCAACTTAAAGGAAAACTCTAGGTTGTAGAACTAGAAATGCTTTTAGTTTGCTATAAGTATCTTACTGATTATGTTTTGATTGTTTCCACATTATCCAGAATGTTTTCTTTGCACTTATTAACTCCTATTCAATGAATTGCTTTCCCTAACACTTAGTAAATGGGGAAAATGGTGACATAGTAATTATGTTGCTGGAATAGTAATCCAGAGTGCCAGGCTAATACTGTGGAGACACAATTCAAATCCTACCACAGCAGCTAGCGGAATTTAAGTTAAATACGGATTTGAAAGCAAGCTGATGGTGACCACAGACCCAGCGTTGTAAAAGGCTATCTAATGCACAAATATCTTTTAGGGGAGGGAATCCATCTCCTTTACCTGGTCTGGCCTACATATGACTCAGGATCCACAGCATTGTGGCTGATTCTTTAACTGCACTCTGAAATGGCCTATCAAGCCACTTGTATCAAAGACACAAAAAAGCCTAAAGAAAGGAATGAAACTAGAAAGGATCATTGACCTAGGCACTGGAAACGACAATAGCGCAAGCAGCCTATCGACCCTACAAAGTCTTTGTTAAGAACATCTGGGGGCTAGTGCCAAAATTCAGACAGCTGCCCCAGAGACTCGTCAATCAACATTCTGACATAGTCATTCTCACACTCACAAAATCTTACTTTATCATCACTATCCCTGCGCGTGTCTTGTCCCACCAGCAGGATAGACCCATGAGAGGTGTGAGAGAGTTGTCCTGGGGTCCTCAAATTGTCTGCAGACTCCATGAAGTCTCGTGGGATCAGGTCAAACTTGACCACTTTCGCCGCCTCCCCCTCCCCCAGCTGATGTGTCAGTATTCCCATGTTGAACACCAAAACTGCATGTGGCAAGTGCATCCATCCTTGATAGTATTGATAGGAATGACCACAGCCCAGTCCTTTTGGAGACAAAGTCCCATGTTCATGTTCAGAACACCCTCCATCTCGTTGTGTGACACTATCACTGTGCTAAATGGGACATATTTTGATCAGATCCAGCAACTCAAAGCTGAGCACCTCTGAGATACTGTGGGCCATCGGCAGCAGCCACTCACTCACTTCATGACTCAGCATAACCACCAAATTATCATTACACCCAGGCCGGGAGATCAACTCTGGTTCAATGAAGAGTGCAGGAGGTCATGCTTGGAGCAGCATCACAAATGCCTAAAGCTGAAGTATCAACCTGGTGAAGCTACAATGCAGGACTATTTACATGCAAAACAGCCAAAGCGATATCCAATGAACACTGTTAAGCAATCAAAGGAGCAGACTGAAGCTCTACATTCCCATCATGGATGACAGTGGACAACTAAACAATGAGCAGAGACTCAATAAGACAGAATCTAACCATTTCCCTTTGACAGTAAATGGTATTACCATTGCTGAATTTATTGTTAACATAGTAGGGTCACCATTGACCAGACATTGAACTGGACTACCTACATATATGCTGTGTCTACAAAAACAGGTCAGAGATGAAGAATTTTGCAGTGAGTAACTCAACTTCTAACTTCCCAAATTATGTCCACCCATCTGCAAAGCACAAATCATGAGTCTGATGGAATACTATCCACTTGCCTGGATGAATGCAACGCTGAAGAAGTGTGAAATCATCCAGGACAAAGCAACCTGCTTCACTGGCGCCCAACCACCACCTTCAACATTTACTTCCTCCACCACTGATGCCCAGTGGCAGTAGTGTGTACAATCTCAAGATGCACTGCCACAATTTGCAACATCTCCTTTACAGCACCTTCCAAACCTATGACCTCTACCACCTAGAAGGACAAGGGCAACAGATGCATGAGAACGCAGGCATTGGCCAGATCCTTTTCAAGCCATCTGCCATCTTGTTTTTGAATGATATTGTGTTCCTTCATTGTTACTGGGACACTGTCTTAGAACTCCCTTTCAAAGCACCACATGTACCAACCTCAAGTGGACTGCAGCCGTTGAAGAAACTCTAGTGCCTACTCTAAAAATAGTGTGCAAAAACTAGAATGGTCAAAACCTATATTTGCATGACTCAACAATTATGTATTTATGCACTGATTCACTTTTTTAGTTCATGTAACCAGCAAGTAGGCTCATGGATGCTGAAGTCTGGGTGCTGCCGTGCCAATCAAAACTCACATTGTCATTTCTGCAAGGTCCAGTATGGAACTAATTTGATAGAAAAGGAGAGCTTGAGGTGAATTTAAATTAAAAAGTAAAAGGGAAGAGGGTGAGTTTTGGAAGTAAAATACTGAAGTTCTGATCAGAAGCATGAAAGTGAAAACATAGGGCTCTTGTGGTTCTTTGGTAGTGTTCCTACTTTTGAGCCAGAGGGCCTGGGTTCAAACATCCGCCTGCTGCTGCGGTGTGTCACTATACATCAGGACAGAGTGATTAAAACTATATAGGAGTGAAAAGATCCTTTAGAGCCTGGAATATTTATTTAATGTTTCAGATCTAGATTATCTAAGTTTTAAAACTGCAAATTTAATTAAGTATAAACATGTTGAATTATATAAAGTAGCAATGGATAAAGATACATGAAGCAGAAACCGTGGGGGTCATCTTTGTTTTGAATTCAAGTGGAAAATTTCTGATTATGAATGAGGTTATAACTCCTATCCCAACTTTCCATTCCATTGAAGTTAACAAAAATTAAAATCGGGCAGGGTGTGCAGGACCAAAAGACAACAGTTTTTCACTGACACCCTCAGTGAAAATTACTCTCATATCCTTTATGTTCAGTAATTCACAGGATGTGAGCATCATTTGACTAGGCCAGCATTTATTGCCCATCCATAATTATCCATGGACAGTTCAGAGTCAACCACATTTCTGTGGGTCTGGAGTCACATGTAGGTCAGACCAAGTAAGGACAACAAAGTTGTTTCCCTCAAGGGCATTAGTGAACCAGGTAGGTTTTACAGCAATCGACAATGGTTACATGTTCTTATTCCAGATTTGCTTATTAAGTTCACATTTCGCTCGGTGCATGGGATTCAAACCCATGTCCTCAGAACATTTGCCTGGGATTGTGGATTACCAGTCCAGCGACATTACTACTACAGCACCACCTTCCTACGTTTACAGTTATTTAGTGCACAGCTGAGAATATTCTGTCCTTCATAACATTTAGCAACTAAATTGATGGGCCAATGTATCTTCATCCGAATAAAAGTATGAAAGGGAATAAAGGAAGTACAAGCTTACAGTGGCATTTTTCTCATTGTCCTCTAATTACTCAGTTTTGAACTCTTCACTCTGAAACTACGCTACTATGACCAGAAAAGTTGTACTTAATATAGGCACAGTAGCTTAGTTGTTAGGTTCTGAGTTCAATTTTTAAAAAATGGGAAACTGATTTCATTAAACATGATCATTTCTGTCAGGCAGAGGCAATGGTTAAAGTACTAAAACAGTATTTTGTATTTGTCCTTACTAGGATAATGGATGGTATGAAACTTGCACTTAAACATGGAGAATGAAGCTATGGATGCAACAGTAATAGATAAGATGTATTAAAATTGTCTATGTTACCAAACATTGGTAAATAACATGATCCATATGGAATGTAAATTCCGGAAGAACTGGTTGCAATCTTAATCCTCACTCGAGGAGTCAAGGATTGGAGGTTTGCTAATGCTATACCATTATTCAAGAAAGGGGAGAGGGATACACTTGAGTTGCTTGGCACTATCAACGCAAAACTGGGCATCCATGAGACACACTTGACTGTCAGTAGCTTCAGAACCGTGTTCAACCACAATCTCTAACCTCATGACCTGGCCAACCTCTGTTTCTACCATTACCACCAAGCCAAGGATCAAACAGGTTCAATAAAAAAATGCAGGTGCAGCACCAGCAATGCCTGAAATGAAAAGGTGTCCATCCAGTGAAGTTACATCACATGACTACTTCCTTACAAGGTAGCATAAGCAGTCATGAATAGTGGTAGACAATTAAACAACTCACTGGAAGTGAAGGTTCCATAAATATCCCCAGTATCAATCTTGGAAGAGCCATGCAAAAGACAAGGTTGAAACATTTTGCATCTATCTTAAGCCAGGTGCCAAGTGGACGATCTATCTCGACCTACACCTGAGGTCTCTAATGTCAATTTGATTCATTCCATGTAACAAGAAATGTCTGGAAATACAAAATACAGCAAAGGCTATGGGGCTATGACCACATTCTGGCAATAGTACTGAAAACTTGTGCTCCAGAACTAGCCAATCCCTTTGCCTAGCTGTTTCAGTAAAGTTACAACACTATCTATTCAGAGGATAGATGGGGAAAATTGCCCAGATATGTCCTATCCACAAAAAGCAGGGCAAATCCAATATGACCAATTACTGACCCCTCTGTCCACTCTCAATCATCAGCAAAGTGACAGAGGATGTAATTGACAGTGCTATCAAGTGGCACTTACTAGACAATAACCTGCTCAGAATCTAAGTTTGACTTCCTCCAGGCTGTCAGCCCCTGACCTCATGACAGCCTTGGTCCAAACATGGATAAAAGAGCTGAACTCAAGGGGTAAAATGAGGGTGATTGTCCTTGACATCAAGGTAACATATGACTGTGGCGCCAAGGAGCCCTAGCAAAACGTGAGTCACTAGGAATTAGGGAAAGCTATCCAATGGTTGGAGTCAGCACAAAGGAAGATAATTATAGGTCTGGAAGGCCAATCAACTCAGGCATGGGTCATCTCTGCAGCATGTTCCTCAGAGTAGTGTCCTAGGCCCAACCATTTTCAGCTGCTTACTTAAATACCTCCCCTCCATCATAAGGGCAAAGGTCAGATATTTGATGATGATTG